CACACGTGTAATTGAATTCATATTCTTAATAACAAAAAAAATATGGGCAATTGCAAAAATGCTATTTTTGGTGTGTACATTTGCTAGAATGCCACTTAGGGTGTCCATTTGCAAAAATATCACTAATTATGGATTTTTAAAGCCTAAATCTTAAAATTATAAACCCTAAAAAATGTTTTGACCTCTAAAATCCCTTAAACCCTCAAAACTAAACCCTACCCAAACATAAATGATATAATAAATTTAAAAAAATATTACTATATTCTTATCCGTAATGAATGTATATTAATTATGTGATAAAATCGTAAAAAAATTCAAATAATGTAGAGTTAAATTAGAAAAAATAAAGTTCATATTAATAATCTCATAAAACCTATAAAATTATTTTAATAGTAAATATATTGTTATTATCCTTTCAACTTGTATAATTTTCATTTTATACAATTTTTTCTAATATAAGTCGAGAAATTTCATTTTTTGTGGTATTCTATAATGACGTTCAAAAATATGTTTATAGATTTTTGTGATCTTTGACATGGTTTTGCYTATCTTAAAKTTTTAAATTTAGATTTTCATATCTTTTCTATTTATTTTTTGTTTTTCAGTTTATGTATCCTCTTTTGTTTTATCATTTGTCTTTTTCTTTTATTCTCTCTATATTTTTTTAGGACTTATTTCTTTCTAAGTTACAGTTTCTCAATACCTATTCTCTTTGTTGTTTTACGACTTGTATTCTCTTGATTTTATTTTCTTAGTTTTTTTTTATTTAATTAGTGTGGACTATTAATTTTTTTTCTAATTAGCTTAGACTATTAGAAAGTTACTTTTTCAATTTATATTATCTCCCTATTTTTTTTTTACGATTTATAATCTCTCGATTTTTGTTTTTAATTTTTTTTTACAAATTTTTTGGATTATTAGAAATTTTTGTTTTCTCTAAATTGATTCAGAATATTAAAAAATTATTGTTTTTCTAATTAGTATGGATTATTAGAAATTTTCCTTTTTTATTTGGTTAATTCCTTAACAATTTTTTGTTAGTTTTTCATTTTTAATTTTATTTATTCTTAAATAATTTTAAAA